TTCTAGACATTAACATCAAAAGCCGTTGTACTTCCTTCAACTTTGTCACGTTTTGGAGACATCGTCCGAATTTCTTTTTGTGTCCAATGATATATGCCTCGCCATTCCAATTTTTTGTCTTCTCCCACAAGATCTCAATTCCCACCGGCAATGCATTGGCATCAAATTTATACGAGTTAAAAGCCTAAAATCTAATGATTAATGCAAGGTCATGGGGTCGCGCGATCGGAAAACAAATGGTTGGCAAGGCTTTCTACGGGTCATAACGACAATTTAGGTACTGATATGGTCTATTCAACTCGAGATGAATATCGTCCGATAAATTGCATCAATATATGTATGACTTTGTGACGAGGAGTATTACAACGGACAAGTCAGAACGTATCATCAATAACTTGTGCAAACATCGCTTAAATGATGTCTTTGAGCGCATAGTCCCAATCACGGGCCTGTAAGGGGGAAGAGGGGCTTAAACGTTTTCCGAACATTTCCTACGGGTAAGGAAGGCTTACATAGTGATTTTCGAGAGGGGGATTTAACGGGTCGTTGGGACGGAATAGTGCGGGTGGTGGATATTTACATAATCTCGGCTTGCAATAGTCACTGCAGCATAATAAAGGGCTTTCCAAAAAAAAGCTTGTGTGTCACCATATGTAGGAGACTTGGTGGATGGGGTAGTGTTGAGGGGGGAAAGTCAAACAAAGCTCTCAAGAGCTAGATGGACAGAACCCATGTCCTTTCGTTAATTTGTACCGTTTGTAAGCTCCAAAACGTTACTAGAGTTTTAGGATTGAAGAGTTCTGCGAAGTGAATATAATAACCGAACGACCAGGAAGAAATTGGGGGTTCTCAATCCGTCTCAGAGATATCTTGGGATCGTAATTATTCGGGGAATCTGGAATAGCACAAAGTACGATACAGCGCGCCGCATATGGATAAAACGCGACGTTACATAACGATTCATACTTTCGTAAGAAGGTATATTATAAAATCTCATTTATTTTGATATTGAGAGTGTTCACAAAAGATCGGAATGATAATTTCCTACTACTAGTAGTACCAACCATCTCAATAATGCAAGGCCACTAGATTATAAGCGGGATTACTTTCAATCTCAGCTCGGCGCAGCCAGAAACATTGTAGGCCAGTTATCGATTGCGTTCTCCTCGACGATTGAACGAGAGTAAAATATATTCATATGACTTTCGGTGGCAACTGGGAGCAGAACGATTGACAAATATCTAAGAACCGGAGACGTTCAAACTTCAAACTAAAGTGAATGACAATAAATTTGGTAAGCACGACTATTAAGCATAAACCGGCGAGCTAGAACTAAATTAAAGTTTGTGTATTCAAGTAATGAAGTTTTGTGCAAGCCCATTGGTTTGGACCACACACATCTTTGAGGAGTAAGCTGGTTTTGGCCCAAAAATCATTCAAAGCCGTAGTTCTCCTTTTGACCCCAATTTTGTCTCCATAATCTCCTTCGTTGATCGGCAACAAGAATGTCTTTATGGGGTAATTGGAACGCTTCTAAAACCAAATCAGGCTTCAAATTAACATACCAACTGACAGATTGCCAGTGTACTACTGCCAGTACGTCAATTGTGCATGAGTATGAACGTCATTATTCTGATTTTGTCTGCTTGGAGAAGAATTACCCTTATTCTATTTTTAGAGACTCTGAACTAAAATTTCGCAGTTGCCCGAAATTGCTGCGCCAGACGTCGACATCTTCATCTTTCGAAAGGTAGATTAGTCACACGAGAGTACACGCGCAAAATGCCGAAAGGTAAAGCACATACGTATGATTGGTTGTCCAAATTCGTTTCACAAGAGGGGAAAATTTATAGAAAAAATTCTGACATAGGGTTAAATTATTTCCCTGACTCACTTTAGAACTCCCCCTTCCAGCCAGCTGGACGCTTTTATTGCTTAATCAACATTCTCGTCGGATATAGCGCTTCTGAGGAAACAATGTCAGACCGGCTAATGTCATTTCCCCTCGCCTGTTTCATGTTCAGAGGTTCAAACTTTCGCACTGCCTTTTTGTAGAGTCTTCTCCCACAAGATCTTGCTGGCCGTGCACTCGTGCGAAGCACGCCCCCCCTCTTCCGCTGAATATAATAGCATGATCTTCCATGTCAAAGTTCCCCGGATGTTCATTTTCTCTCATTTCTTAAGATAATGGGCGACACGCTTGTGTTGACTATGGGCGTAGCCCTCATAGGTACCCTCGTCTCTGCGGTACTCTATGGTATCACAATCACACAAACATACCTCTACTTTCAAAGATTCCCGAAGGACCATTACCTTCTCAAAATAATGGCAAGTTTGATACTCAGTTTATAACGCGCGCTCCGAGTCATGAATCTGAAATGCTTTTGAGAATAGGTATTTTCATTGTGGTATGTTTTAGATTTTTCAACGGTGGCAGAGAGGAGAGTAACGTATGAGAATTGAATTGATAGGGTGTTGGACACGCTCCACCTGTCACTCATTTCACATTCCATGTTCTATTACCTAGTACGTGGGTTCCCGTACTTTATTATAAGTATGTCTAGCCGCTCATATATTACAGATCGCGAACTTCAATAATCCCAAGGCCCTACAATCCGCTGTTTGGTAAGTACCAGCAGTACATGTCATTTTAAGAAATCGATTTTCACACACGATTCAGGAGTTTCAACGTGAGTTCTCCGAAATCCCAACATAGTGTACTACACTTTTTTGAATCGATTTATAGTTTGAAGTTTCTGTCAATGTATGTGTTTTCATCTTGAGAAAGACAGAGTTTGAGTAATTGGCATTAGGGCGTCATTGGGCTTATTGTTGAATGGTGGATAATGTTTTCCTCGGTTTAATTATTTTCACAATCTTATTGCTTTATACCCAGCTTCTTCGCGCGACGCCTTCTACGATGTTCGTTCTTTTTCCTTCATCGTTCCCCACGAGATAGGAACTAACTAATCGCAGTGAGTGGTGGGAGTATAGTGGGCAAGATTCTAACGATTTTAGTGGTGAGTCATTATTGTCTTCTATAGAACAATCCAGTCGTTTACAGTCCCAACCTTGTAGTGCGGTTTATCCTTGATTCATTTCGGTAAGCATATGAGTCATTCAAGGTCTTGTCACCTTTGTGCATATGTCATATGTCTAATGATTCCTGGCAGGCCTCGGTATTTGTAAGTAAAAGTATAGAATCTACAATCTGGGGACTAATTCTTTGATGTTTCCAGTCTTTACGGATCGATTGTACGTTCAAATAATGCGAGCAGAAGTTTTTGACCCTAACCAGATCGTTTAGGTTCAACCTTAAGTTTTTCGTAAAGTTCCCCGAGCTCACAGTAAGTCTCGAATCAATTAAAGCTTTGAAGAATCTTTCCAATTGATTCAAAAATTCCTAGTGGATCACGAAAGTTGGCTTGGGCAGCGCCGCTGCTTGCGATCTAATAATAGCTACTGGACTGTGAGTTTTTGTTTCTCCAAATTATTCTTGTTTGACCATATCGATTAAATCCATATGAAGTTGTTGGTACCTCTATCAATCGCGTACTGGCTACCGAAAGTATGTGAAATTTCTCTGTTGATGGGGGGACGGTTATCAAATTCGTTTCAGGACCGACTCGCTTATTGTGCGATTAATGGTGTATACTCTCAACTGCGGTCTGTTAACGGGGTATGTTTACAGTTATAGCGTATAGTCTCTATACTTTTTTTTTGACATTTCATGTCTAACAGTGTGTGTGCTACTATGGTCATCATTACGGTCAGTTTTCTATACTGATAGTGTCTCCAGAGCGATTTCATTTAATCCTACCCTAAAGTTCTCTCTCTTCCCGACAAGTTTACTATTCATGGCATTCTTTTGGGTGCTTGGTAAATGTTCGTAAAAATTTCCCTTTCCTTTAGGAAGAATGTACAAATGTTTATTTTTTTTAAAACAGTGTACTGTAACAGCTGTGTTGCCATGTGGGTTATTCATCCTGCCACTCCCCCCGGCTTAAAGTTTGAAGTTCTGTTTCTTGTAGGCTAAATAGTCGTCAATCACTACGAGGAAAACTGGGATATACACCTAGCACACCATCCGATCTACCATCAAAATTTACGGTCCCCTCAGTTCCCAGGATGCGGGCTTCGCACAATTATGGAGAAGCCACATTCGAAACAGCATACCCCCGTCCCCCAGTGAGTCGTGCAATTCCCTGTCCAATTTGCACACCCCCTTTATTGTTTACCCTTTTTCAAACAGAGTCCCCAACCGGTTCTGACTGTACGGGTCGATACCACCACTGAAACATCCCGAGAATATTACAAGTCAGAGTATCATACAGTGAGCTAGTTTTATACTGTGTTGTTATCCTTGTACTTAACTAATCTGGGTATTCTTAAGACCCCTCAACAAGAAACAGCATCTTTTTCCAGCGTACAAGAGTCAATAACAGCCGTGCCGAGTCCATCCTCATTAGCACCACTAATGTACAATGGTAACCCACGGACAGATCCATGGGTAAACTCCAAATATCCGTGACTTAAAAAAAAACAACACAATCTCTTATCTTGTTGCTGTTATCATGATGCATAGTGCTTGTAAACGAAGCCAATCAAATTATTTTTATGGGGTAATATTTTCCTTTTCTGCCATCAATATACTGGTATCGGACGCCACAGTCGCATTTAGGTACTTGTAATATTTTGGATGACAAGTGTCCCTACACAATTGTATACAATTATCACTCGATTTTCGAGGAGCACAGAAACATGTAAATTACTTACGAAAGGAATGATTTTTGGAGCAAAGGGCTGCTTCTACTACAAGTAGTCGACAGTTGTTTGTCTGAGCACCACAATATAGTGATAGCTATTCAAACATTATAACGAAACTATAATTTTTAGAGAACAGTGTATATTGGTTGGTTCTATGTTATAAGGGTGCAACAAATACTCGGAATGATAGCTTTACATTGAAAAGGGAAAATAAAAGAGGGAATGAAAAAAAGAGGTTTTACCCGGATTCGAACCGGGGTCTTGGGAAGATTGGTGTCAAAATCCCAGGGGCTAACCACTACCCCATAAAACCGTTGTTAAACTAGCTCCGTAGAGCTTACAAGACCGCGAGAGATATGAAAAGTGGTCGTGATAGATACCACGTGACCCTAGTATCTTTTCCCTGCAACTCTTGCCTTATGCGTTAATTCTCCTCTCAGATTCGACAACTTTCTCATAGAATTGCTCCCTTTACAGTAAGTTTTAAAACATAACATATACCATCATCATTGGAATAAGTGGTTACATGACTACCCCGTCTTCGAATTGGTTGGCGTTAAAGAAGGTTCGTTTTTATCATTCAAAAAAACGTGTGCTCTAGTTTTCTTATTCTCACCACTCTCTTCAAAATATAGAAATTAGTTGCTTTGGAAGATGATAAAAGACCCAAAAAACGACGGAAAATAGAAGTTGTATCTGAAACGGCGTCACTGACGTCTATTGCGGCAACTGGTTCCAGCAACATTCGGAAAACAACACCATTACCACCACCACCTCTTATTAGAGGAGGAAATCCCGATTCTATAGAAACGCTGCAACGTATGGTTCGTGGAGAAGAAACTTACGCCGAGTCGCATCTTTTGTAAGAAAACGCCTATGCTTCTTCCTATGGTGTATTTTCTGACATGAAATCTTTTTTAGACCAGGGAAATATATTTCTATGGATTGTGAAATGGTTGGAGTTGCCCAAGGTTCTGGGAGCAAAAAATCTCGTAGGAGAAATGACGATGATGAATCATCGCTTGCGCGAGTCAGTATCGTCAATTACTATGGAGTCGTCTTATTAGATGAGTTCGTGAGACAACGAGAGCGCGTCACAGATTGGCGAACCGCAGTTAGTGGTGTTCGTCCAAGCGATATGACGAATGGTATGAACACGTTTCCAAACTCTTTTTAAATCACACACATGGAACCATTGACCAATGAATGGCTTTTAGCAAAACCCTTCGCAGAAGTGCAAAAGCAAGTCGCTGACTTGTTAAAAGATAGGATCCTAGTTGGACACGCCGTTCACAACGATCTAGAATGTCTGTTACTTTCGCATCCACAACATATGATCCGAGATACTCAGTTTCTTGCGGGTAGGCATGGCACCTTGAAACAGATTGCTAAAGCAGAAGAAAGTGGCGATTCTGTCAGGCGGAATAAGAAATGGTCGTTGCGAAACCTTGTGTCATACGAGTTGAGTATGCAGATTCAGTCTGGGGAGCATTCTAGTGTACGTGTACCCTTGCACTAAGAATATTTCGTTATCATCTTGAGCAGACGCGCTTGTAGGTTACTGATGCGCGAGCTACGATGGCCGTTTATCGGATACACAAGAAGTTGTGGGACAAAGGATTCCATCATGCAAATATTAAGAAATCGGCAAAGACAAAGCGAAAGCTCGACGAAGCAATGTCGGACGAAGGCGTGGAAGAGGAAGAAAGCCCCAAGCCCAGTAAAAGCCTCAAAGGGATAAGCTCAGGGTTGTCCGTTGTCGTTAATCGTCAGCGAGGAAGCCGGAAGTCCAAGCAAGTGCAAATGGGTACAAAAAATCGGAAGGAGAGAAACGTAGCGGCCGAAGATGGTCAGTGGTGGACGAAACTCGGATAATTACAAGGACTGCCGTCGACAATGTTACTGTTATGATATATCCATCGTCTTATAGGTGGGATTGAAAAACATACATCGATAAGCCAACTTGAACTTGTCGCTCATGCTTTTTCGTTTAGTTCATTTATGCAAGGCTTGACCTTCCAATTCCCAAGATGGAACACCGGTATTGAAGCGATACTCTTAGCGCAAACGATCCTGAGAGTATGATCGCCAATCTCGTCATGGAAGATACTAGAAAAGTTTAAATATTTGATCAAGGTTTATAGTGTATCAAATTCAAATATCAGATAGCGAAGAATGAGTTTGGTCTCGGTTTCGACAATACAGCACATCACGCACAAATCAATTACAATAAAAATCCTGACATTTCTATTTGGTTTGGAAGCAAAGATTACTAGCAAATATTCCAGATCAGGAAATAGATCTATAAAGACAGGGCTTAGGGCGCTTCACAAAAGAGCTCAGCGTTATCTTCGGAACACACGACTTTTTACTAACGATCCTTATCATTCCCTCTTCTTTGAAAAGCGATTCTTCGTCTCTCTTCGTTATTGTTCTATTGTGCCTTTCAGTATAATGAACCGAATGCAGTCTTACGTGCAAGGAAGTCAAGAATCGGATTATGTATCGGAAGAGCACGTGAAGAAATGAAAGTACAATGTCTGATATCGATGATCGCATAAAGACAAACCTGCATATATCAGGGTCGTTGGTTGGAAATGATATTTTTCCCTTACGGCATGGTTCGGAATCTTGCAACGTGTGCTTCATAATAATAATAATGAGTGAGTGTACGTCAACGAACATTCGGGCATTGGAATTTTTTTAATCGTTCGGCAAGTGTGAAATAGTCCGGTAAGCCAGCCAAGTCTCTTTGAAAAATTTTCGTCGCTTGAAAAATACAAGCAGCTTTTTCATTCATTCCGATGATAATTTTGGGGTTGGGAATTGAAAACGAGGCGTTTTTAGAGTGTTCAATCGGCCGGAAGTGTACCTCGACTTATAATCCTTACGTAAGTCATGCCGTACGACGCCGCATAAAAAATTTTTAGTGGGGGTGATCGGTTTATAAAAGGACCTTGAAGAGTCTCCTCTCTGTTATCGATAACAACCTTCTTCTTCATCTTGTGGAACAACAAGGTTAGTTTTTGAACGTTTCTTTCTGTTGTTTTGTACTCATCTATCTTTGTAAAAACAGCGCACCAAGGGTATAATTCTCTTGCCTAGTGCATGTTCTCAAATCAACTGAGCAGCTCTCATAACCGTCACCGAGGAAATAAACACAGCAGCCCACCTCCTAAAGCTCATTAACGTTTGTCAATGGCACCAGTCGGAAACAATCCTGTATACACCCCGACCTCTGGTTTCAACACACCAGAATCTCAGCTCGATGGGCCTCTGCCAGTTCATCCTACGGCAGTCAGACGGCCTTATTCCATTGTCGTGAATTCTGAGAAAACGACGTACACCGACGAGTTCATCACTGCCAAGTACGATAATCGTGGTGCTAATGTTATTTCCTCGGCAGACGGGCAAATTTCAATCATTCCTACTATTAAATCTTATGAATTCCGTACCGCACGCAAAGTCCAGAAGACTGGGTACGTTGTGCTTTTAGTTTAATGTTACATTATCTTGTATTAATGGATGTTTTGCACAGCTTGATGATGATTGGTATTGGTGGAAACAACGGTAGTACTCTTTGTGCTACCATCCTTGCCAATCGTCACAACATCTCCTGGCGCACCAAGGAAGGTGTCCAAACCCCCAATTATATTGGATCTCTTCTCCGAGCCTCAACCGTTCGCATTGGTACTGATCCTACCACTGGCAAGGACGTTCATGTTCCCGTTTCCGACGTTCTACCAATGGTTCACCCCAATGACCTTGTTCTCGGTGGTTGGGATATTTCTGGCGTACCCATGGACCAAGCCATGTACCGTGCAAAAGTCCTCGACTGGGATTTGCAACGTCAAGTCGCTCCTATGATGGCGTTGATGGGCAAACCTCTTCCTTCAATTTACTATCCGACATTTATCGCTGCCAACCAGTCTGCCCGTGCCGATAATCTTATTCCGGGAGATAACAAACAGGCTCACTTGGATCAAATCCGCGCCGATATACGCAACTTTAAAGAAGAAAACGAACTTGATCGCGTCGTCGTCTTCTGGACTGCCAATACCGAACGATACTCCGACATCATCACCGGTGTCAATGATACCGCCGATAACCTTTTAGCCTCTATCAAGAACTCCCACGACGAGGTTTCACCTTCAACTTTGTTTGCTGTCGCCGCTATTTTGGAAGGCTCTCCTTTCGTCAACGGTGCGCCGCAGAACACTTTTGTCCCTGGTGTTATCGAGCTCGCCGAAAGACACCGAGGTTTCATTGGGGGTGACGATCTCAAATCTGGCCAGACGAAGTTGAAGAGTGTTCTTGCGGAATTCCTTGTTAATGCTGGTATCAAACCTCTCAGCATTGCTTCTTATAACCATCTTGGAAACAATGACGGTCACAACCTTTCCGCTGAAGCTCAATTCAAGAGCAAGGAGATCAGTAAAAGCAGCGTCGTCGACGATATGGTAGAAAGCAACAGACTTTTGTACAAGCCTGATGCCTCCCCCGATAATTCTGGTGATAAGAAGACCAAACATTCAAAGGGAGAACATCCTGATCACATTATCGTTATCAAGTATGTTCCCGCCGTTGGTGATTCCAAGCGTGCTCTCGATGAGTATTATTCCGAAATTTTGATGGGTGGTCGTTCTACCATTAACATATTCAATGAATGCGAGGTATGGCATTAGAGCTACATTCATGAATGATATGGTAAAGATTGTTTTTATAGGACTCCCTTTTGGCTACGCCTTTGATCCTCGATCTCACCATTCTCACCGAAGTGCTTACTCGTATCCAATATCGCGAGGTTGACGGTCAGAATACCGAATTCAAGCCTCTTTATTCCGTACTGTCGCTCTTGTCATACATGTTGAAGGCTCCTTTGGTCAAACCGGGCACCGACGTTGTCAACAGTTTGAGCCGTCAACGTAATGGCCTCGAGCAGTTCCTCAAAGCTTGTATTGGTTTGGAGGCTCATGGCGATATGTTGTTGGAAACTAGAATTTGGTAAATGCGTGAGCTTTAAACATCGTCGGAATTGCCTTTATTTAGAATTTTTGTTATCACTGAAACGACGATTTTTCGAAATATAACCTGAAACTTTTTTTTGTTGCCGTTTATGTCCGGTTACCTGTGCGAATTCTTTTGAATTGTTGCGGTACTTTTTTTTTTGTTCTCTTTCCGTCTTGTCTCTTTTCACTCAATATGTCATTGGACTCTTTTGATGAGCCCGTTGAATCAAATGAAGGGTTAATTGTAACATTTAATCCACCGCTTTATCTTCAACGACAAATGTGGCTTTTGAATGCTCTAACT